TTTTTTTTTTCTTTTTGCATATACGATTATTTAGCTCTTCATTTACATTAACTGTGATGTCTCTTGTGATATTATTATATATGTTTGTCTCTTTCGCACAAATGACGCCCGTGTTCCGTGCGTTTCCCGCTCACACACACTTCCTCTCCTGTTATGTTACTTATGTATACAATGCGCTCCCTATCTCCCTTACGCTGCCCTAACTATTGTGAGAGCGTTGAGTTTACGTCAAAGTTACCGTTTACTTGTGCTCGCTAACGCTTGCTAGCTATTACTCACGCTCTCCCTCTCTCTTTATCTCACTTACTCTACGTAGAACGCTCATACGCTACAYAATTCTGCTCTATGCACCAACTAATCCACTGAAAGAAAATATTTGGTATTTGCCTTGCATCTGCTGCAGCTACTCTGACTAGTGGAGCTTGGGAGGTTTTACATTCATTCTTTATTCTTCATCTAATTATGTTGTTGTTGTTGTGCTAGTAAATTGTGGTGATGGTTCTTGTTGCTACAGCTATCGGTTTACAAATTACACTGCCATAGTATCGTAGGCTGTGAATCCTGCGCCACTTTGTTGTTGGAGTTGTTTTGGACCGGCTTCGTTTCTGTTTTTTCGCATTGATTTTGCGATATTTGCGAAAAATATGAAAAAATTATTTATTAGTAAAAAGCCATAAATACTTTTCGTGATAAGTGTTCTAAATGCGGTGAATAAATTACAATTGTATGATATGATAGTTTTAAGTTCAGCAATATGAAGCTCATTCATAACTCATTACGTTCGTATAAATATTAGTTTAGTTAATATATTTTATTCGTTTACATTTATAAATACAGTTAGGGTTTAATGGTTTAGTATTATACCGTTATATAAATTGTGTATTTTAAGAGGCGACAATTTTTTCGTAGATTGCATTTTTATAGGTTGGAACCCCAAAATTGGAGATTTTAATTAAAATTCAGAAGAATTTACGAAGTAACAGCAATATTAAAGATATGTTGGAAGGAAAACTCCCTCAGAAAGATATATTGGATACGCTACTGTGTTAGAAAATGTATCGAAATAGAGTTTTATCAAGAACATGCTATATGCCTTGTAGTTAAGTCTACATACAATAACTGAAATATAGTAAGAGCTAKGTTATATGGAAGTGACGGAAGCATCACGTTCGAAATATTCAACGGTACAGAAAAACCAGCTGCTTACTACTAGAGAAAAGAGAAAAGCCAGCTGTTTTAGTGMGAATATGCTCTCATTCAACAGAGTGTTTTCTACTTTTCTTCGTGACTGTAGAAGAGTTAGGGAAGATAAGCTAATGCCCGCAACAAAAACTTTTTGAGGCCAATATATTCGAGAAAGTAGAATTTAATTTAAAATAAAAAATTGTGTAAATATTAAGAAAATTTGATATTAGCAACGCGTACAATTAAGGACTAACAATCAACGGATGAACTGCCACCATCTGTTTTAGCTTCGTACTGTGTTTTATGTAGTGTATACCCTACACAGATGCATGTGGCACGAATTAACAAACATGAGATACAGCAAACGTAAAAGAAAAGGAAATAGAGAGATCTCTTAAAATGTCATAACTAGTTTTTGATTATAAATAGTAATCTGATTCTATAGATTATC